GGAAATTGTGTACTGATGCGTTGTATGTTTTCCCGCTTCAGGGTAGCTCCGGCTTGAAGTGGGCTGACGGCACGGCCCTGTCCGGGTGCTCCTACCGGAACTGGGCCCCCTCCGAACCCGACCCCCCTCCAGCGGGCAGCCCGAGTTTGTAGTGTACTGATTAGTTGTATGTTTTCCTGATTCAGGGCAGCTCCGGTTGGAAGTGGGCTGACGGCACGGCCCTGTCCGGGTGCTCCTACCGGAACTGGGCGCCCTCCGAACCCGACCCCCCGTCCAGCGGACAGACCTGCGTGCAGATGGACGCCAAAAACAGCTTCCAGTGGAAAAACAATTACTGCAACACCAAGAAGTTCTTCGTCTGTCAAAACGGTATGTTTTTTTTAATTACCGTAGGAAAACTTTAAAAAACGTCATTTTTGCTACGTTTTCTCTTCTTCTTCCGTTCCAGACACTGACATCTGACCTGGCCAATGACCTGATTTGTTAACGTCTGTCACCATGGTAACTGGTGTTGGGTGACATAATGTTGCAATCTTATTGTAGGAAGGATTTAGTCTCCTGTCTGACCATATATATCAATGTATTTAAGTAAGAATTAACATAGCAGACCATGTGCGAAGGTTAACATGATTATGCATTTGCTTAGCAAACGTTACCTTTTTTTAAAATTCATTTATTCTAACATTTTATCACAAGACGTGGTGAGGGCAAACTCATAGAGGATGTGTGGGCATTAGATAGATAGAGGGATGGATACCAATATTAAGCAAGTGGCCGGGTAGTTAGGTACTAGATAGATGCGTGTTCTTCGTTAGCTACTAACACACTCTTTATTCCTCCATGCAGGACCCGGGGACACACGTGCGTGCGGTGGAAACTCAGGTGAGACAACATCACACCTGTATCATTATAACACACCTGTGCATAATTACACACCTGTATTATTATTACACAACTATCCGATTATTACCTGCTACGTTTGTGTTGTCATTTAATCAATGATCTCAGTCGTCACTTGATGACCAGTGACAAATACTATATTTCGAAATACGCTCGCCAATGCAGAATGGGTTGGGTATTAATTAATATGATATGAATCTTTATTGCATGTTCTTGCCTAGATGGGCTATATGCACAAGAGGATGTCCAGTATGTGAAACATGAGTATTTCATTATATTATATTATATTATATTAATATTGACTGATACCTGCTTTGCGTCCAGGTCGAGAAATTGGAGCGGAAGCCCAGGATGAAGCCCAGGAGGATGAAGACGAGATGCTTGATGACATGGAGGAGACTTTGGAGGAACTGAGGGAGATCGAAGATGAGCTGGAGGAAGAGTTGGAGGAAGAAGAGGAGGAGGAGGAGGAGAGGAGGGAGATGGAGGAGGAGCTGGAGGAGGAGCTGGAGAAGAGGGAGGTGATGGAGGAGGAGGAGGAGGATCTGGAGAAAGAAGAGGAGGAGATAGAGGAAGAGGAGGATTAGGAGGAGGAGCTGAAGGAAGAGGAGGAGCAGGAGATGATGGAGATTGGAGGAGGAGGAGTGAGAGGAGGAGCTGGAGGAAGAGGAGGAGGAGCAGGAGCAGGAGACGAGGGAACTGGAAGAGGAAGAGGAGGAGAAGCAGAGAAGGGGGAGATGGGAGGAGGAGGAGAAGGAGGAGGAGGGAGAGGAGGGAGATGTGAGCTGGAGGAGGAGGAGGAATGAGTGAGAGAAAGGAGATGTAAGTTGGAGGAGGAGAAGAAGGAGTGAGAATTGGGAGAAGGAGGAGGAAGAGAAGTGAGAGGAGGGAGATGGGAGCTGTAGGAAGAGGATGAGAAGGAGTGAGAGAAAGAAGATGTGAGTTGTAGGAGGAGAAGGAGGAGGAGGATGGAAACAAGAGGAGGAGAGAGCGAGTGGAAGATTTTAGATGATGTGCTTAAACAGTACAATTTCTTTAAACGATAGGCACCGTTAGATTAAATATTGGTTAAACGGTGGTAACATAGTCGTGCGCAAGTACATGTAAGCTAGGGTGTGTAATGGTAATGTAATGATAATATATATCAATTGCACACTAAACCCTTATGGTATAGTGTGTAATACCTTTAACTCTACTGGATGGTTTAATGTTTAACCCTATCTAGACCGGGGGGGGGGCTTAAAGTGCCCGCGGCAACTTTGATGTCACCTAGCGTCTGAACGGCTAAAGCTAGAACCGCCAAATTTGGTGACTTTTCCTAAAATATTGTTGGCAACAAATCTGTATCAGTGGAATAAGATTATGATTTTCTTGTTGCCATGGCAACGGGTTTCTGACAGGCATTTTTTGCCAAATTTAATTATTTCCATTTAAACAACAGAATTTTATGGGTTTTATGTCAAGTTACACATTGTTTCTAACATTAATAACATCACATATAATTATATGTAAATTTTATCATTAAAAATGCATAATTTATGCTAATTTGATGACGTCATTGGCCAAAATCCAAGATGGCGGACCATATCATTAGATCAGGTAAATGCAGCTTATTTTCCTTAAAATTTCATCAATACTCTCATTTTTTTTACAAAAAAGGTTCATATGAATGTCTTTAGTCTGTTTACAATGTATTTTAGGCTTCATCCTGAAAAAAAACTATTTTTCAAAATTCAAGATTGATGATCCAAGATGGCGGATATGTAATATATGCATGACGTCATTTTATGACGTCACCGGTGTTGCTATGGGCAACATAAGACTTAGTACATCCTAATATTCTGTCATAAATACTTTAGGTAAAGTTATGTCGTATATTGTTTAGTTTTCAGGGAATAACCTATCTAGACGGTTTTGGCCAATAAAATCACATTAATGACGTCATAATGACGTCATATTACGTTACAACGACATAAAAATTGTACGTATGATAAATTTTCACTAGTACATCATCCTCTGAAAATTTGGTGGTCCTACGATATACCGTTCTCGAGTTCTGAGGGGGGGGCCGAATGAGCCCCCCCCGGTCCCAACCAAGCCCAAAAAAGCCCGGTCTAGATAGGGTTAAGAGGCTGTTTTTACTGTCAAGTTGGGACGTATTAACTGGAAAGTTCATCTGAGGTGATTAAAAGGGCAATAAGTGGTAACGATGGAGTCTGCCGGGTTTTTTTTTTGTCTGAGTTATTATTAGTAATGTAGGTTCGGGTAAACATAACCTCAACACCTAAAACAAACTTGGAAATGCAGGTTGCAAACGCAAATACTTAAAGAAAAAGGAAGTTGGCATAATTCAGTTGCACTTTTATGATCAATAATCATTTATCAAATGACAGAGCGTGAAACACACACACACGTGCTTTGATCGGAACCGACGCACGACGTTCCCATTTCTTGTTGAGAATAATAGAAACGTACAGGACACAGTGGTGGCTAACTCTAGCGGGTCACTAACCTTAGCCCCACCACTGACAAAAGAAGAGTACACACAATAGTAAATAACAATAACAAAACAACAAGTCACAAGGCAAAAAAATCAAATGGCGCTGTATAAACGATAGCATGTAAAAAAGGACCATAACGTTTTGAAAAAGAATGGTTTTCCGTAGGCAATTAAACACATGTAGGTGTACACCTTCCAATTAAGGACACATGAAGACTTCTGTATATGTGAGCTAAACGAACCCGTCAGGCCAACAGACCATAAAAGGCAGGCAATTAACTAATTGGGGTGACTACAGGGCAGCGAGTGTCGCACTGATGACTGCACATCATGAACACCGGAGCTTTGTGCTTATTAATAATTCAGCGGCCCCACCTGTTGTACATAATATCTCTGCCTGTTGTGGCATGGCGGAATCATACCTGCATCTGGGACCATGAAGCAACCCCAATAACGTAATGTGTTAATGGCCATCTCAATAATCATGAAGAGATATGGATTTTAGATATCAGGCATATCAGAATATCGCGATACTAGCTATACCAATAACTGCCTGATTTTTGTAAGCTTTTTGGTGCTATTTACTAAGTTGAACTATACAGGATAAAATATAAAAACGTTTGTTTTCTAACATGTTGGTTATCCTTCGCTATGGAGTAAATGCCATCATTCCATCGCCATCACGGTGAATATTAAATGAGTGTATAACATAGCGACGCCCGCCCGTCATTGTTTACAGTCGCCCATAGGTGTGCCTGTACACGCCCAGACTCATTACCTGTATCAGTCACGCACAACGCGGGCTGCAACAAAACGCATTTTTCTCTCTCATCCAAAATTCTAAACATTCGTCTACTGATTCTTCTTCCTACGCGAAGAGCGGCATCTGCTCAGCACCGTGGGTTACTGTGGACATCGTGGTTAACTTTGCAGTTTGTGTTGATGGAATACCAACTGTTGAGTATGATGACAGGTTAAGCGGCGTTCTTTACGTACTGCCAGTTCACTTGATAACTACAGTGTCACTCCAACGGGCTGTGGTTCAAGAAGCTTCTTGGCTTGTCCTCGCGAACGAAGATCAGGAAGGTTTTTCACGCTGGCATGACCTCTGGTGGCTGAACAGGCCGGTTAAAGAAGCTTAACTGTTTAAAAAAAACGTAGTAGTAACTTGCAAATCTCGTACGGATCTTCAGAAATATGCTGTGGGAAGCGGTTTTAGTAGTAGTGACGGTCTGGACGGGCCCTTCGGCGGGGTACCCGACGGGCGCGCCACCGGAGCAATGTCTGACCATGACGCCGAACCACCACGGTGCCAACGCCTCTACTGCTGCCTCGCCGTACACTCTGGTACCGTCAACTACTACCTACACACCCGGGACACCCATGTCAGGTACGTGGTACAGCTAGGTACACCCTGGTACCAGTAACAACAACTTAAATGTCTAAAACACCTAGTTCTGTTTAACCACACTCTGGCACATTCAACAACTACTTACACACCCGGGACACCGTTATCAGGTACGTGGTACCGTTTCTTACACCCTGGTACCTCCAACAACCAGCTATACACATTTTGTTAGGTACGTGGTACCCCTAACTACACGCTGGTACCTTCAACGACTACCTACACACCTAGAACACCTATGTACACATAGTGCAGTCCACTACACTCTGGTACCTTCAACAACTATCTACACACCAGGTACACCTATGTCAGGTACGTGGTACGATTAACGACCCATTGGTACATTCAGTAACTACCTACAAAACCAGGGCACCTATGCCAGGTACATAGTACAGTTACCTACACTTTGGTACCTTCAACAACTACCTACACACCCGGTACTCCCATGTCAGGTACGTGGTACCGTTAACTATACCCTGGTATCCTGAACAACTACCTACACACCTGGAACACCTATGTCAGGTACATATTACAGTTCACTACACTCTGGTACCTTCACCAACTACCTACACACATGTCAGCTACGTGGTACAGTTACCTACACCCTGGTACCTTCACCATCTACATACACAACCGGGACACCTATGTTAGGAACGTGGTATGGTTACCTACACTATGATACCTTCAGCAACTACCTACACACCTATGTCAGGTAGTGTTAACTACAATCTGGTATCTGTATAGATTATGTATTGTATTTTTGTATACTTCTGTTATACTGTTGTCCTTCATCAGGGGTGCCAGAGTATACAGTGCAATTTTACTAGTATACAGTGCTAGTAAAATTGCACTGGGTTGCGTAAAACGATTGCACAGCATACTCTGGCACCCCTGTTCATACAAGATGGTTTCTGTCCCTGTTCCAGTGAGTGTGCAGGGCGGCGCGTTTAAAGGCATCCTCCTGCAGGCCCGGCGCGCTACAGACGGTCGGTACGCGGGGACGTTCGCCGACCCCCCGCAAGGGTTCCACGACCTCGCCTGCAACACATCCGGGGACTCTGTCACCCATAGCAACCGCGACAACAAGACGGCCGCCATGTTTGAGTGGATCCCGCCCAGCCCAGGGGTGGGCGATGTCGTCTTCAAGTCAGTTCATTCCCTCCTTTCGAGCGCAATTTTAGACTATTCCTTTTTTTTTATTGTTTTCCGTTTGTTTCGTTTATCTTTACACAAACGTTTGCTCTGTTGTTTCGTCCAGAGGACCTTGATGTATATTTTCTGTTGTTGCGGCTAATAAAAAGAACAATGCCAGCCGGCCTTCATATGAAAATATTTTAGCTAATAGTGTTTTTATTACTCTACATGTATGAGGGTGGGTTAACTATATTCAAGGCTTCAAGATCCATTTTGGCTGATCTCTTCACGAGTATATAGAGTGCCGTCGGCATTCAAACATTGACTTTTTATTGAGCAACATAGAAACTAACAGGAACAGTGGTAGGCAACTCTAGCAAGTAATGTTAGCCACACTATTGACAAAGAAGAGTAGTCTACTGAGGAAGACCAGAGTGACTGGTTGAAAGCTCTAGGTGAGAGAATTTTTGTGTTGGATCAAAAGTTTTAACTTTAAACAAGAGTACATACAATAGTAAATGACAATAACAAAACAGTAACAAGTAACAAAACATAAAATAACATTGATTCCATTTCTGAAATTTCAGGGCGACCATTGTGAAGAGCCACGAGGTCTTCTGGACTGACGTCACTTCCGTAACCGTGAATGACGTCACCACGGTGCTAGCGACCACCCCGGCAGGTGAGAAGAACAGCGGCGCTTATAATTACGTTTTACCTCGTTTTGGGGCGTGTGCCTGGAACCTGTACTTTACTTTTTTTTTGTTTTTAAAAGAGGGTGCACCATAACATGTCACACATAATATCGACTCTTCACTGAATTTACTCAGTTTCTAAATTTATTTCTTATGATGTAATGTTCTGTGTGGATGCCTTACCTTTATTGACTGAAATTAAAACTTGTTTCGTCGGTGAAGGTTAGAACTTAGACATCTAGGTAATAAGATACGCCAAAAACTGTTACTCAAGCAACTGGATATGATTTTGGAAACGATCAGACGTTTCAGGTATCATCCACTACCTTTCGTCAGTGACACTGGAGACTTGTCAGAAAGGCATTAGCACGAACTATTGTTTGATACACATATGCATTAAAGTCTTAGCTTATTTGAAGTCCACGTATTTGCATATCAATCAATAGTCCGTGCTTATAAACCTGGCTTTCTGACTATTGATTGATATGCAAATACGTGGACTTCAAATAAGCGAAGACTTTAATGCATATGTGTATCAAACAATAGTTCGTGCTAATGCCTTTCTGACAAGTCTCCAGTGTCACTGACGAAAGGTAGTGGATGCGCCTGACTGTTTCCAAAACCATATCCAGTTACTTGATGAGTATTAGTTTTAAACCTTGTTCTGTTACCTGTTTTGGCAGTTCCGACCTCCGCCCTTGATGTTGAGTTGCGGCTGACCAGTGAAGACTTCCACTCAGACCTGCTGGACCCGGCAACAGCCCGGCACCAGGTCCTGCAGCTGGCCGTCAGGGGGGAGGTAAGGCTGTTAGGGGGGAGGGGGTTGTAAGGCTGCAGTCAGGGGGGTCGTCAGGAGGGGGGTCGTCGAGGGGGGGGGGTTATATTGTTACGCATTTCTCTGCATGCTGGAAACACGAAACAAAAGAGACCTCTGGGTAGTGAAGATGGCAGGTCAAATAACTCCAATGACAGCTAGCTGGAATATGCAGTACACATGTACCCTCATACATTGCATTGCATGCAGTACGCATAGAAGTTTCTGCATGCAATGAAATGTACAAAAACATGTAGCGTATAAAAATATATTTAAACCAGCCATATAATACATTCACTGGCAGACGTGAAATGCTTTTGTCTTTAATTGAGATTTTGTTTTCAGGTTGACCGCATCTTTGAGGACCATCCCCACTACCGATCGTCACGCGTCAATCACTTCCGGTAGGTCAACCTTCACGACCTTAAGTGTATTCATGCATGGGTTCAAGGTCAACGAGGATTCGAGGATTTTAGTTATTGTTGATATAGATATATTTCCTTTTGTGTTCTATAGCCTGTCGTGTGTAGTCATGAGCGTGACGTCAAGATTTTGTGTGTTCGTCAGCAAGAGTTGTGTAAACATGAGTGTGACGTGGTAGATTAGTGTTTGGTTTGATTTGATTCGATGCGATTTATTACCTCCATGAAAAAATGAAGGTATTGTTTTTGGCATGTGTGTGTGTCTGTCTGTGTGTGTGTGTGGTTCTGTCTGTCTGTGTGTCTGTGTGTGTCTTTCTGTCTGTGTGTCGGTGTTTCCGCTACTTTGTGGTGAGCATACCTTAAGAAGGCCTCTATGGATTGTGATAATATTTGGTATGCTGGTAGGTCTTAGGAAGACTTTTGTGTTTGTGTGTTCCGCAGCCAGGGCAGTGTGATCACGAACGTGACGCTGGACTTTAAGAAGAACCTGACGGAGGAGGAGAAGTACGAGGCGGCTGCGCAGCTGTTCCAGGCCAGCGAGAGCGGAAACCTGGGCTTCACCACAGACAGGGTCACCGTCAACTACGGCGACGGTGGGTTTCCTTCTCACCCTATCTCAACATTTCACTAAAATGGTTTATATAACACGTGTGCTAATTCTTGATTGGCCCCCACCAGATATTTGGAAAGCAGCGGAAAATGGATTTCCATTTATACAATTATACCGATGGCCATCTTCAGTCAGTCACCTGTCGTGATTGCAGCAGAGAGTCATACGTGTCAGATAACCTGTGTCGTCCCCCGTCTCTGTTCAGTGTCAAACACTGTCCCAATTTCCTCAGTGTTGGTAAGAACGTTTAGCCTTTTTGTCATAATATAATGAAGTATACCAACACAGATTAACTTTCATCCTAACATCACTTATCGTCTGTTTTGCCAGGCACGTCGGACACGCTGGAGAGATGCACGTGCAGCGGCCAGCCCTCGGTCACGTGCACCACCAAAGGAGGCACGTGCGTGCCTACCTGCGTGCTCAACAAGAACTACTGCAACACCGGGACGTGCAGCAGCGACCTCAGCGCCAAAAGGCTGAACTGCAAGTAAGATAGCTCTCCTTCCTAAATACTGTGAATGAGTGACAACATTGCACTCCTGTTGTTGTAACTACGTGTTACTTGCTAGAGAAAAAAACACATGGTAGACCGAAAGCATCTAAAAAAAAAGTCTGGGAGGATAATTCTAAGAGCGTTTATTGCTTTTTTCTAGGTGTCCTTCGAACTTTGTTGGAGACCGGTGCGATAATCCTCAGATAGGCGGTAAGTTGTTTTTTTAAATCTTTAGTACTTGATATTCCTCAACGAATTAAGTGAATTTTTTGGTCAAAAAGCAACAACACAAAAGAAATATTTGCCATGCTAGTACTTAGATCCTCCAGCTCATTCAACAAGCATAAAACCTCTTTAGACTCATCTGAATATTTTCATAATGATACGTTACCGCACCGTGTTCATTGTGTCACGTATTCATGATTTTTTCCAGGTCTGTCGCCCGCTGCGTTTGCGTGCGTTCTTCTGGCGGCGCTTGCGGGGTTCGTGCTGCTGGGTTGCGTCATCTGCCACCTGTGCTGCGCCGAGAGGTGCGGAAAGGGCGGGAAACACAAGGCGTACAACCAGGGCAAGCCTGCAGCGCAACCAACTCAGGTAGAACTTCAATTCGGAATACGTGTCAAAACCTCATTTAGATCCAACACCAAAAGTTCTCTCACCTAGAGCTTTTGACCAGTCACTCTGGTCTTCCTCAGTAGACTGACCCAGTGAGGCTTGTCACGTGGCTTCTTTGAAGTGTGACGTCAACACTGGGTCAAAGGTATCTTGCAGACGATGTCGCCCCCCGTCGCGGTTAAGTGAAGGGTGATATGGGCCTGGATATATATAGCCTCCTTGGAAGACCAGAGTGACTGGTCGAAAGCTCTAGGTGATCTTCTCATTCGGAAAAATTGTAAACTGTTCACATCATCCATATCCAAGTCATGAAGCATTTACAAAGTCAGAACATATTGACGGACTTCCAGTATGGGATTAGAGCTAAGCGATCCACAGAAACACAGCTCATACTAACAGCCCATGACATAGCTGGTGCACTGAACAGGAAAAGCAGATAGATTTAGCGATACTCGACTTCACAAAGGCGTTCGACAAAGTTCACCATGGCAGGCTCATCTCAAAACTGGAGTATTATGGAATCCAAGGAACTACACTAAATTGCTTAAAAGCTTTTTCTAACCAACAGGGAGCAAACAGTAGTGGAAGGGAAGGCTTCGGCTCCAGTTAGAGTAGCGTCAATCGTGGCGTCGTTGGCGCAACGGTTAGAGCGTTGGACTCGGAACTTATAGGTCCCGGGTTCGATACTCACCGTGGCCCGACGTTGTGCCCTTGGGAAAGGCACTTTACACGACTTCCCCACCATGTACGGTGGAGTGACGCCCACCTAGCCTTTTAGGCTAATTGTCTAACTGGGTGCCAAAAATACCCTACGAATTTGGTGCGCCAATGTCAACATTAGCACATTTGCGACCAAGACAAGAGCCGGTATTTTTTTTAGAGTAGCGTTAGGAGTTCCGCAAGGACGGTTACTATTCCTTTTTCCTATTCCTCCGCAGACGGCGCAGACGCAGAAGCCGCCGGTGGAGCAGGAGGAGCAGGTGGCGACCGTGGACATGTCCAAACCCGCCGCGGGGGATGACGGGACATACACCAACCCTTCTCTGCCTCGCTCGGAGGCCGGAAGCATCATGGAGACCATCCAGGAGGAGCCGTCAGGTCAGTGTAACGCCGCTTCTCATTGGTCAGTGGTCTAGTAACGGGGAACACTATTGGTTCATGGAGAATATTTATGGGAAGGTTCTGTATTGTCAGTGTAACACCGCTTTTCATTGGTCAATGGTCTAGTAACATATTGGTTCATGGAGACCATCCAGGAGAAGCCGTCAGGTCAGTGTAACGCTGCTTTATTTGGCCAAATATCTAGTAACGGGAAACCCTATTGGTTCATGGATAGTATTTAGAAAAAGTCGCCAGGTCAGTGTAACGCCGCTTCTCATTGGTCAATGGTCTAGTAACGAGGAACCCTATTGGATCGTGGAGACCATCCACGAGGAGAATGGCCTAGTAACAGAGAACCCTATTGGTTACTGCCAGGAGGAGCCGTGCGGTCAGTGTAACGGCGCTCCTCATTGGTCAATGGTCTAGTAACAGGGAACATTATTGGTTCATTGACTAAGTGACTAAGAACCTCCATTATCCCCCCCCCCCCGAAGGAAATATACAGTCAATATAATGCTTTTTATTGGTCAAAGGCTTAGTAACGAGACTTGAACTTGACTCTTGTGTGTTCCAGACGCGTCTCTGATCACAGAGCCCGGGGGCATTGCCCGACCGGTCATCCCCGCTCCGCTTCCCATGGCGGGAAAACAGCGACCCCTGGCGGCGGATCCGGGGCAGCAGGAGGCCATCGAGAACTGGCGCCGTCACGTGGTGCCGAAGGCCGCTCCCCCTACCGCCTCGCTGCAGCCTGAAGCGCCCTCTCACGGCTCCCTCCCGAAACGCATCCTGGAGACCCCGCGCATCCCCGAAGCTTCCCCCATGTTGCCCCTGAAGAAACGCGCGCCTGATGCGCCCCCTCTCGGCTCCCTGAAGAATAACATCTCCGAGGCGCCCCCTATCGCTTCCCTGCAGAATCGCATCCCCGACACTCCCGCCGTGGGCTCACTGCAGAAGCGCATCGCCGAGGCGCCACCTGCCGACTTTCTGCGGAACCGCATCCCTGACTCCGCCTCTGACGTCACCGACGAAGTGGCCCAGCTGACTGCCCGCTGGCCTGCCAAAGGTGCTCAGTCATTCATTTGAGCTGGATGTAATCTGTAGAACATCGCAAGCACATTTTAATGTCTTGGGATGGTGGGACCACGGCGCACACATATGTCAACTCTGTATATTTGAATGTTTATTGCACTTTTTTGTTATGTGGCGCTGTTAATATAAGTTGTAAGATTGAGTGCAGAGTCACACTGTCCTTATGTTTTCATGTTTTGATGAATAAAAAAAGCTGGAGCACGTCGGCAGAGCATACTGCACCTGCGCGTAACCCTGTTTTTTCACGGTTTTCGTTGGATGTTTGGTCAGCGTTGCATCAGATTTTCCCCGTTGCAGAGGGTATCTTTTCCAACACAATAGTTGGAAACTACCTACAGCATGTTAACCTTATATGCGCGAATACGACCTTATATGAGACGTTCTGCTGATGTGCTTTTTCATTAGGGTTATGTGAAGGTGCATTACATTCTGCCGACGTGCTACAGGCTGGTGTGTCCAAGGCTGATTAGAATAGACTATATCATTAATTGTTATAGCTAGGGTATCAATGGTAGGAATTTTCACATAGTTACAGAGCTTTATTCCGACTTTTATCCAGTAAAGGTACATAAGCCATTTTGTGGTAATACTGTAAACGTGTGTGTGGTGTGTGCTGAAACAGTTAGTGAGTCACTTTAAGTTACTACTAGAATGTTACTTTCCTGGTATGACGGTAAGAGTTGTATTCCTTCCGGTTCGCGATATGACCTGTAAGATAGTAAGAAGGTTCTGCATCCGGTTCGCGACAGGAAAACCTCTGCGACAAACAGAAATTACTGTAGCAACTTTGGTTCACGGTGGCAAATTGGTAGCTTCTTATGAAAGATGTGACTTGTAAGTCTTGACTTGTAGCAAAAAAAAAATCTAACGCGGAGAGAACGGTTTTTAATTTCTTTTTACTAAACTCCGACAACGAAAAACATCAAATAAATCAAAGGCAGATCAAAAAGTTATCACCCAACCCGTACCCCTCAATGTGTATTTATCTAAAACAAATACAAAAGAAGCTAAACGTGTTTCCGTTTTGTGTTTTCCGTAGGAGGGGGCACAAAGTCTCTGGGCCGCCGCCTGCCCGTGCGGGCCCCGGCAGGGACCCGGCCGGCCACCGTCAGGGGCATTTACAATCCCGGGTATTATGACAACTTCGGGAATATCAAGGAAATGTCCTACAAGAACGCGGAGGAAATAGCTTGATCATGAATCAGACTCTTAGGAATAAACGAGCGAATTAGCAAAAGAACTAGCATAAAATTGACTTACAATAGGTTAAAATATATGAGAAATGTGACAAAGGCAGGCGGTTAGACCATATAAATCCCTAAAGAACACGCCATTCCTCTGGAGTATCTGAGCGCCGAGCGACAAAATCAGTCAAAAAATTTCACAAAGAACGATTTTTGACGTTTTTTTTGTTTTGTTTACAAGTTAGACACATGTAACACATTATGATGTTTCATTGATATTACAAATGAGGTCAAACCACAACCGTTCGTTAACTACAATAGGCGACAAAATAAATGGAAAATCCTCCAAGTCCACTCTGATACAATAACTACTTTTCAATCATGAAAAAAAGCTAAAACACCTCAGCTACAAGATAAGGTCATCATAAGTTAAACTTTGTACATACATACCTTGTGTGCTTGAATGAATGAATAGACCCATTCGACTTTCACAGACCGCATAAACTGCTTACGTCACAGGGGGGACATTTCGAAAGAACGTCGTTCTAGAACGCTGAAGTTGAACGCGGCTTGCGCTCGCGATGTCCCCCCTGGCAGATCATTTTTTTACTAAAATGTAGGTAAGTGTCTTCTTTTTCTCGGTAATATATTCGGAAATGACAGGAAAACAGGCACCAACTTTGTATGGCGGCATTCCGTACAAAAATGTAAGGTTATTTTGTTCTGTGACGTATGCAGTTTATGCGATCCGTGAAAGTCGAATGGGTCTATTAGATGGTTTTAGGTTGTGGGGAAGTTAAGAATGATGAAGACAATGTAATGCATGCTAGACGGTTTTGTGAAAACTGTTTCCTACAATTGACAATTGACATAACTATGTGTTTCATAATGTTGCCTGCAATTGGCATAATCATGTGTTGCATAATGTTACATACAATTGACATAACTATGTGTTGCATAATGTTACCTAGAATTGACATAATTATGTGTCGCATAATGTTACCTGAAATTGACATAATTACGTGTTGCATAATGTTACCTACGATTGACATAATTATGTGTTCTTGGAAAGTTATTTTACTAGCATTATTGCCACTACCCGATGCTTTCACTGTAAAAAGTTGATAACTTAAAGATATGTGTGTGTGAGAATTAATTAGAATACTAATTAGAATGTTGGAATATAATAAGGACATCGTGAATGGCATGTTTAGATTTACATATATGATAGACGATGCTTTTAGGTTCAAATCACGAGGTGCAATACATGTTCGCTGTTAACAATGTATATTTACTTTGTTGCATGTTATTAAAATAAAATGGAAATTTCATTCAAACGAACAGGCTGTCTGCAATCTGTTTGTCCATAATGTTTTCAATGCAATTATGTATTGGCGATTACCCATTGCCTGTTAGTGCACTTTGTACCGATTCTATCACACTAACATCTATTGTTACGACGGTACGTACAAAAAATATATACGCACGTTGTTTTGTTTGAGCTTTTTCATCGTGCCATACTTTAGTACTTTAAATGGAGTATGTGCATGTCCCATTCAAGGCATTGAAATAGCGACATTACACTAGCAATACAGATATTTTCATGGTACAAATGAACTGGTCCACGGTACCTCTTGGTGCCAATATAACTGTAACTACACTTTTAATTCTTGAGTTATTATATGAAAAGTCAGGTAACAAAATTGGCCCAATTTCTTCGAGTGTGCACGATCCAGTGAAACTCAACATGATCTTTACTTAAACATAGCCTGAAGTTGCTACTACATTTTAGTAATGGCAGCTCCACATGTACAAGATAGGTGACTGCCTTCAAGCCGATCTATTACACACTATGCATGTTACTCTTTCATTATGGCTTAAAGCGTTTCTATTGGAGCTGAAGCTTTTAGCGGCATTAGCCAGTAATTATGCTGCGAACTTCCCTCCCGAGGGACTTCACAAGCCTAGGCATGTTCCTACAACATTATGATGATGACTACATTATAGTAATAGTCAGTCCGGAATTATGAGAAATCTGACTGCCTTCCTGTTGATCTATATCACACACTGTGCATGTTGCCCGACTCTTTCATAATGGGTTAAAGCGTTTCTATTAACGGTAATTAGCCGGTAATTATGCAGATGACTTCCCTCCCGAGAGACTTCACAAGCCTAATGACCAGCAGATTACGTCCTCATTAAAACCCTCTCACCAGAAATAACCGGATGGACCCACCTCACCCAGCACCGATTAACCATCACAGTTGGCTATTAGTATTATACTAAGTTAAAGTATATAACATTGGCGGAGTTTCTTATATCTATACAGTCACTGATTACCCTTGTTATTTCTTCTTTGCGCGCCATACATTATACCAGTTGCAGTTGTTGAGCAATAAAGTTGATTTGACTTTGTTAATGTAACGATATAGCATAAGCAATTTTCTTAGTAACTACTGCAGGCCACAGCGCTGCCTCAAGTTGGGTATGTTGAAGTATAACATTATGTTAAAGTGTAGCCATCGTACAGTATCGACTGACGCCCACAGAGGTAACCATTGGTGCAAGTTCCTGCTGTTGAAGAAATCGCCCATCAGGTAACCGCCATCACATGGCGAGCACTTAGTCTAACCCCTGCTGCACCACCTTAAGTACCCTAAAGAGGCATCATCATGGGATATGATAATCGCGACCAAGAGCCTTAAAACGCGCTGCCACAATGCTACAAGCTACGTGCAACAGAACAGGCTGTAATAGAACCGGGCTACAGTAGATTCAGCTACAGTAGACTCATGCTTTAATAGACCAACCTGCAGGAGAACCAAGCTGCAGTAGACCCAGCTACAGCTGCAATAGACCCAGCTACAGTAGACCCGGCTACATTGGACCCAACAACAGCTGCAGCAGAACCAGCTACATCTGCAGCAGACCGAGCGACAGCTGCAGTAGACCCAGGCTGCAGGAGACCCCGCTGTAATAGACCCAACTACAGCTACAGGAGACCCGGCTGCATCTGCAGTAGACCCAGGCTGTAGAACAACCAAGCTACAGTAGACCAGGCGACAGCTGCAGTAGACCCAACTACAGCTACAGGAGACCCAGTTGCACTAGACCCAGGCTGGTTAGCTGTACTATACCAGGATGGTGCGAAGTGTGTTGCTGTCTGCTCTAGCTGTCCTGCTATTGCTGCTGATCGGGAACAGCACAGGGAACAGCCACGTTGAGAGGTGAGGACATGTCTGCTGTCTACATTTTGTATTTTGTACACATAGAGCTTGTCGTAGTATCTTACCATTCTCCCCCCTTTTCTGCAAACTGTTGCTTTAAGACCTGCTATGGCTTGTCATCTCCAGAATGGTTACAGCAGAGTCATAGCGATTTTCCTCATCAAAATTGACACAAAACAGATGAAGTTACTTTTTTTTGCTGCAACAATTGACTTTGCACAAAGCACAGAACCCATGGCATAACTTGTTCACTTATAACATTGCCAATATAACCTGCTCGAAATGTAAAACTAATGTAAAAGTAATGTTGGCATGGTTAATCTAATATGGATGAAATTTGATTTGGCGCATTTTAGAATTTCGACAGATGCCAACGCGAACGTGCGTAATGTTCAAAGTGGCAGCCTTACAATCCGTACCAGCAAGGAGCAAAGAGCACATACATCGGTGAATGTTAGACATCCAGGTAATAACCAAAACAGTTACTCAAGCAACTTGGTATGGTTTTGGAAACGGTCAGACGTTTCAGCTAGCATCCACTACCTTTCATCAGTAACACCGGAGAATTGTCATAAAAGCAGGTTTAAAATTATACCTCTGGGTACCAATAATACGAACTATTGATTGAGGCTTGTCGGACAGGCAACATGGACCTGACTGTTTCCAGGAAACGATATCAGAACGTCATTTCCCCTCCCTGCAGAACCAAACGGCTCCGGCCTGGTCATTAATAGTCAGTGAGCTGACCACTCGTACCTCCGATCTGGCCATTAATGACCACTCGTACCTCCCGTCTGGCCATTAATGACCACTTAATCAATACCTGGTCATCCTCTCAGGACAAATTAGTCCGAATGATTCTGTGTCAACAGCCGTTAAACTTTACAACTCCTGATACTAAATCTGAATTATTGAAACAGTAATATAGGGTAAGTGAATAAAGAGACTATGTTTACACATCCAAGAGATTGTTTTGGTGACCGTCTGTCACATTTTCTGAGGGCAATTCTCTTTATTTAGTGACTTTTCAACCTGATGAAACTATTCACGGAGTAATCCAGGGCCTCCTATTAGAGACTCTCAAAGTATCAGAAATTACAAATGACGAACACGGAAGGACACGAACCTTATACCCTGTATGCATATAGATATATGTATAGATTTATTAGGACTTTAAATGATGTAAACTGTTTCTTTATTATATCTTTCGTCTGACCCTTTCCTTTTCCCTCATAACCTCAATGAAAAGCGGCCTACAGGCCGATTTGATCTTCTCATGCATAAAATATGACTCGAATAAAGTATGACTGTAGATGTGTAGATGTGCAAAGATTGGTACCTAGATACTTTTAGTTTATTGGACTGGTCTTCCATTAATCGCAATGATCTCACGAACCAATACAAATTGACAGCGTTTGGTCGTTCATCGGTCGCTGCACGGCCTCCGTCATGTAGAAATTGTGGTTGTAAAAAAAACGTTTTTCTCCTACAAAGTACAGTCACGGCCATCGAGAGAACAGAAAACAAGCCACCGCATAGGCCGTGAGAACAGCCTAAGCAATTAACGTCCACGTCACATGTTTAACTTTAAATGAATGAATGAACTTTATTGCTCGGCAGTTGTACAAGGTACAGTGTGTGGCAGTAGGACAACAATGCTACAAAACTAAACTTACAATCATTACTACAAACTACTATCGATAAAAATATGTTAGTTAGTTTGGAATTAGGTATTCCTGATTTTTTCACTGTACTACTGTACTGTTATCTTCACTGTTTTCACTGTCACTTCTATGCAGTGAACTTATCATTACAGTTAACAAATAATTCCTGGACTTCTTTTTCCTGCACCTGTCGCAACCGTGAATATAGAGTTCTGTGAACATGTCCACTTTTCTCCGACCGTAAACTTTTGCTATTGTGAATAAAGTGAATTACAATATACAGAAATTGATGTGGGAGTTGTGGGAATGCTCGTGGAGTTGGAAGGAAATGTTGTAACCGTTTGATGGTTATTTTGTGAACAAGGCTAATGAAACCTTGCGGTAGTTTGCTGAGCATCGACCTACCGGAGGATCACACACCTGTTCCGGTTGAGTCGGTCCCACCGGAGGATTGATTCCGTCTAATTGGACGGTATTTCACTTGAGCACTCACGCTCGGTCAGGCGGATACCGGCAATACTCGGTCAGGGAGATTTGCTCTCCTGATAGTAGTTAACGCG